TGAGTCTTTCCCTTGCCATGAGTGTCTGGGCGAGCTGCGTTTTCCTGACATCTTCAGAGCCCCTCTTGCCACACTTTCCTCATCAGACGATGCTTTGAGTGAGAGCTGTTTGCCCACCCCAGCTCAGCTGTTGGCTTTGTTCCTCTGAGCTTAATAATAGCAATATTGAGTAATAGCCAGACATTTTCCTCCCTCAAACAGCTGTACAAGTGTTGCATGGTTAATCTGTCGTGTTTTGAGCTGTGGCTCGCAAGACAACTCTTCACAGCTGGTTCTTTCCTTACAGCTGGGGGCATTGCCTGGGAAGCCCCCATAACCAGCCTTCCTGCCTGTTGAACCATTAGTCTTCTTGTCTCAGAGGGCAACGTACACTCTTCTGATTTTTGCAGCAATTTGGCTGAATTTTCTGGCTGCGTGTCCTGTCCATGTTGATTTCTGACGAGCTGTTGTCAGCCAGTCCCGGGGTCTCCGCAGGAGAGAGCCTTGTTCGGGGTGTGGGGAGGGTGATGCTAACAGGAATTTGGTTCAGATTTGTGCAGGCACTAGCCTGTAGGCACACAGACACAAATTCCACCTGGAAGATTCCTGGCTGACATCAACAGCCCTTGCACATGGAATAGAATGGAATGGAATCGAATAGAAATAGGAGTAGGAATAGGAGTAGGAATAGGAGTAGGAATAGGAGTAAGAATGGAATAGAGTAGGATAGGATAGGATAGGATAGACCAGACCTACAATGGTCATCTAGTCCAACTGCATTTTGGAAAATCCAGTTTGTTGTTAGCAAAAGCAAGATGCAAAGCATCTCAGTCTTGCTGATTGCTCCACACGTCTCATGTCGATTTTGCCCAGTGCCAGACAAAGATTTCTCATGCCAAATTTTTTATCAGCAAAAATTTCACTGCGTGAGCAAGACAAAAAGATGTCATTTATAAGCATGAGTATTTCCAGCTGCCTAAATCTTGACTTGAATTTACTTATAGTACCCTGACTAAATCTGTCCTTCCAGTCTAGCTCTATAGCAGAGAAGTGAGGGGAGTACTTGCCCTTGGCTCCATTGATAGTCAGTGGAGGAAAACTGGCGTCTCTAGAGGTTTCAGGCTCTGGAGAGCCCAGCTTCTCTCCACTGGCTAGAGAGGGGCCCAAGGCACCTGTGCTCCCGATGTAGGCTTTTTAATTAAGTTCCTAAATCTAGGTGGGAAGAATAGTTTAAATGCATACCCAGCTCCTATTAAAATGCTGCCTTGGTTTGAAAAAGTTGTTGGTTGCACTGACACTTGTGTAGAGTGTGCCCGTATCAAACTGCTCCTGTGTTGGTTTGTTTCCTTTACAAATGCCATTGTCGTTCAAAGGTTGGTGAAAAACCTAAACAGAAGAAAAGAAGGCTGGATTCCTGTCCACAGTCTGCAGATTGTAGTCGGTGACTGCAGATTTCGGAATGCCAAAGTCACAGGTATCATATAACTCGCCTAGCAGAAATATTTCATAACTCTGATCAGGTCTTTTAAGCCATTTGCGTTACACTCGATGTACTAAATCTGGCTGCGTATACCCCTGCAGGAAAAAAAAGAGAAAGCAGCTACTCCAAAAAGCCTGCAAAAGTAGTGAATTAAGCTTTTTTTTTTTTGGTTTGTTAGCACCTTAAGACATTTCTGTGACTTTAGGCACTAGTAAATTAAAACCAAGCATTTAAAAACGTAGATTTCATTGCGAGAGCACTGGGTAGAAGATCGGGGAGAAGAGACGGAGTCTGACCAGGGATTCCCGGGACTTGTGCCTGCTGGCTGCTGTAGCTCACACCCCATGCGAATGGGAGGTACCTAGGCAAAATCTCCTCCTGCTGCAAAAGACACCGAGGCCTGACCCCCGGCACTCTCAAGGCAATACTTCATTTCTGCAGCCTCTCTCTTGCCCTCACTGCTGCCTGCTTGTTAATCCTTTGCTAGAATAAAATTTATGAACAGGTTACCAGGTTTCAGCAGAAGGCTTCTAGTCTCCAGAATCACGTTTCTCATTTTCTAGCTGTAAATATACATAGGAATAGATAGGGAAACGTAACAGATGACACAAGAAAATGCCTTAAGAGCAGCCTGTCGCCCTTGCCGTGTTCGCAGCATCACCGCTCCATGCCTTGCCTCATCACCATAGTGTCCACTGGAAATGGGAGACCAGGGTTTGTGATGGGAGTAGCTCAGGAACCCACAGTCCTTTAGAAAAAAAAGAAAAAGAATCCACCAGTTATGACCATATAAAACAAATGTTGCAAACGTTTGGGTTTTTTTTAATACTTCCTCTTTGTCAAAATCTATTGTTTGGATGAATATGAAGGAAACCTCGTAAAAGGCTTACAATTCCAGTCAGGTCTTGATGATTTTCCAGTACATTTCGGAAAAGTCTTTCCTATACAGGAAGGTATTTTTTTATCCCCTTTGTTGCAGGGCAGTCAGATCTCACAGTCTGGAGGTTTTCTGACTTCACGTAAGGGGCAGCTTGTTGAGGGCAAGCAGTCCAGCTGAGAGGACTCCCCTTGGCGTGCTCCCACTCTGGAGCACCACATGTTTGGTTTTTTGGGAATTCAGGTTATCGCAGCCCACCGGGTGCTGGACCACAGCCCGTGTGGGAGGTTTCTCCAGCCATAAAAGCATCCTGAAGACAGGGTGTCAGCAAACTGGGAACGCCGGTTTGCTTTGTCACTGATCGTATCCCCCAAAGCCTAGAGACTTGCAGCCCCAGGCTGGTTCAAAGAAGTCACTTGAGTACAAACTAAGGAGAATTTCACGAGGCAAAAACCACAGAAAGCCTCTCCTGCAAGTCTCACACTGCTGCCCGGCCGCTTCTCAGTCTTGCCGCCAGGGTCTCATCACAGCGCTGAGGCTCTGTTTGCCCTCTGAAGTTTTACTCTGTTCTCGCAGTTGCTGATCATGTATGCAGTCTCTGGGCATGATTCTAATTTTACACACACTCCAGGCAGTGTTGTAGGATGATGTAGGGTGTTTTCTTGCCGTTTCCTAGAGCTATTCCTAGCGCTTTTCAGTGGCGTGTCCTTATAGCCATAATGTACTTGCACTCTGAAAAACTGATTTTCAAACAGCACCTTTGCATTTAGCAGTTCTCTTTCTTCTCTGGACTGGTCGTTTTATGCTGCAGGAGACTGTACCACTGAGTGCTCAGGGACGTGGTCAGGATTGAGCTCTTTTCTGCTTCTTCAGAAGATGGAGCTCTTGCTCCAGTATAGTAGAGGGAGAATTAGGCAGCCAGGCTTGTAGAGCAAAGTAGGGGCAGAAGGGAGCACCATAACCCTCATATATTATTAGCTGCTTAAGCTGAAATGCTGGTTTGCATGTAAGCAGAATAAACTTGATTAACATGTTTTGGGTTCCCAAAATGCTTAGAGCATGGAGTCGCTTCAGAGCTGGGGAAGAGGCACTCCTGGTCCTTCACAAGGGGTAGTGCCTCTGTTACTGCTCAGCTCCAGGTCACCACAGAAAATAAAAATATATCTTCAATCACTGATTTTCATAACTAGAATTTGTAAAAGTCTAGGATTTGGGTTGGGATTTTTTGGGGTTCCCCCCCCTGCCCCGCAAAGTCTTTAGCTGGATAGATTAAATGACTCCCTTACCTTAGCATTTTTTGTTAAATTTACACTGTGGCCCTAACAAAAACCTCACACCAAAGGACGGCTGATACGTGCACACGTACAAGCTGTTCCTCTCCCCTCCTGCTAATTTTTCCCGTATTAGACCAGTACAAATGATAATGGAGTGACAGGGAACTTTTTGCTGCCCGTTTGAAGATACCAGATGGTATCTGGTATTTGGTCAGGGCCCCTTCCCTTACCATTGCCAGCTCTGCAGATCTTCCTGCACCCGGCTTGCCGAGGGACAGTCGGTGTGCAAAGCTGAGCTTGCAGCACCCAAACCAATCCACAGAGGATTTGTCTTCTGTTCCTCGTGTGGTTGCGTAGGTAATTTTCCATATAGGTGAGTGATTACTCTTGCCAGTGCATGCGACTGTTGATGAAACAAGTGTTTTGACCCAAATCTTCTTTTGCAAAGGGGTGTGTGTGAGAAACCATATTAAACCTTTGTGATTCTTAGCCTGGATATAAGCCAGGAGGCTTTTTGAGAGAAAGGTCATTTTGAAAACCAATTTTCCTTCTGGTGTGCCTCTAGCTATAATTTCTGAGGTTAGTCCTTGCTGCTTGCTTCTGAATAGATGTATTCTGTCCGCTGCGCAAATCTGCGGTGGATTCCTTCACATGTGCCGTAGGAGTAGTTTTGTATCGCAGGTAATAACACCCAGGTCTCGAAAAGGAAAGGGTTTGGAGAGAATTCTGGTCTGAAAAAGCAATATTCAGAAAAGAGCTGCTGCTGAGATTTACTCCCGTGCTGCCAGTTTAAGCTGCCTTGCTAAAGCAGTCAGGCATTGCCTGGTCAACTGACTTGACTTTTATATGAATTAACAAGGAGCTGCAAGATTATCTCCATTTCCCTTGAGCAAATTGCACATCTTGGGGAAGGCGAGGGCTGCAGCACTACAATCCCAGCTCGTCTTCGATGGTGGGGCGGGGGACAAGACATTTCCGTGAGTCCCCTGGTTGCTGACGTGTCAAGGATCGTGACTTACAGCACTGACAGCATCTGTGTCGGTGAAGGAAGAGGCATCTCGCCTCTCAGCTGCGCTGCAGCACCCGCTTTGTGGCAAACAGAGAGCGGGGACAGCACAAACGAGGCCCTTGCTGCAGCCCAAAACAGATGCATGACTTGCTTTCGGTTCAGTGACACAGCACAGCCTCCCCTCCTGTTGAGGTTAAGCTCGGTCCCTGCCCTTCTTTTCTCTCAGCCGTGGTAAACAGATGCAAGCGAAAGCAAATACTGGTGTTTGCTCCCAATTTTGACATCGGAACAACATGGGGCCAAAGCATTTTCAGCTTTTCTTTTACCCAACCTTTAAAAGCTGCGCAAAGAGGAGGGCGAGCGTCCGATTTCCCCTCACTGCGTGGAGGTGGCGTGAGCCTGATTTCTTTTAGAAGGAGCACGAAATAGAGTAGCCTGAAGTAAAAAAAAAAAAGGGGTGCAGATGAAAAATGGAAGCAGCAATAAAAGCCTTTACTTATAGAATAAGTATTGCTACAATCCTCAAGTTCTTTTAAACAGCCAAAAAGCGGTATGGCAGGATTGAGCCCGGAGGCAGGGAGCGTGGAAGGATGCTCTGCGCCAGGGCAGGCGCACCCACCCACTTGTGCTGAGGAGGATACAGCCTCCTGTTCTACGCACCAGACCCTCCCATAGCTTGTTTTAATGCCCCAAATTACCTCTTCCAAGCCTTAAGGGGATCCCCCTGCATGTGCTCTTCATGCAATAAAGCTGAGCAAAGGTTTCCCCTGCTGAGGGCCAAGCTCTTGTGTCCTCTGCTCCTGCTGCCCAGGGCGGTGGGGATCATCCTCTCGACTGTGATGGGCTTGAGGCAACCCTTTATTTACGCGGTTTCCTCAGCCGCATGGTTTGAATCTGCCCAATAAGGGTATTGCACATGGCTGAGCTCTCGCAGTGCGTTAGCTGAAACGTGCCAGTTTTGCCCAAGTTCTGTTTAAAAATGCCACCGGTAGCTTTGCGGGCACTTTGCACTATTACTCACGCACTTTAATGGTTGCAGCCACAGGCTTCTCTGTTTATGCAGGGTCGATTTCTTTTTGGCCTTTGAAACATAAAGCAGGGTCTTCTCCTACAACCAGCGATGGCAGCCAGCTTGACGGAACAGCTGTTTTGTAGTGCTGTAGGAGATCATTTTGAGCCTGACAAAATAAGGAGCCCAGAGAAGAGATCAGCTGGCCACGCTGTGATAATCAAGTGTTAGGTGATGGAAATGAGCTGAACCCTGTGGTCCTGCCTTAGACAAGGCTCTCACTGAAGCTGGTGGGAGTTCAGCTTTTAGGGAGAACTGCAGGAGTGCACTTATTTTTTTGGATGTTATACAAATGTTACATGATTACAGGGAACAATGTGTTTCTTGGAATAAGATGCTTTAATATTAACATCATTCTTCATTACTTTATAGATGCTGCCCTGTGTAACACGAGAAAGTTTAGTTCCCCTTGAAATAAGGGTGAACTAGCAGCATCCTATTTTCGATGCTCTTTGGAAGCTTTCAACTAAGTGTTACAGAGAAATAGCACAATAGTTGGAGTTGTCCTGTACTATTCATCACATTCACAGACCTCCACAGCTTCATCTGCACTGAACGGGACTGGGGTCCTAAGCAGCTTCTCATAGTCATAAAGGAAGCCATTCTCCGCTCTTTCTGTTTTTTTTTCTCCTGTGGAAAGTACAGTATTTTATTATTTTTACCTGCTGTTTTTCCATGACATCCATCATGTTTCATCAGAGAAGTACACTACAGTTTCCTGACACTTTGTTTAGATGCTTGAAGTTTCCTCTACAGGTTGAAGGCTTTACCTGCTTATTAGCTGACAACTGCTGGAAGTTGCAATTAAAGGGTTGAGTTTTGGTAAACCAAAAACAAAACAAAACAAAGCCAAACAAAAACCAAACCAAAAATCAAACAAAGAAGCTGTATGTCCTGCTTAATTGATTTGACAAATGGGATTTGTCTTAAACACCTACTTGAGCTGTGCGAATGTAATGTTCTGTAAGAGCATCATCTGGCTGACTCGCGTGCGAAGATGCAATAATGCTCCAGATCCTCTTTTTGCACTTAGCGCCTGACTCCAGCCCCACTGCCGTCAGCCCCAGTGATTTCAGTGAGGTTTGGATCAGGTCACACTGACAACTCAGGGTTGTCGCCAATCCCTTAGGGTCCCAAAGTGTCCCAAGGCTGAAACCTGTATCTAGCAAGTGTTGAAGTTTACATTAAATGTATGTACTTTTGGAACACGTGCCATAAATCCAAGTTAAATGTCCATGTTTGCACTAAGGATGTTCTTGTGATAAGACTGTACTTTTCAGCATCTTAAGCAAAAATGTACCTATTGAACTTCTGAGAAAGAAAAAAAAAGAATGGAACACTCATAATTTAATTTTGTGTTTCTTTGTCTGGTTTTGCTTTTGTAGAACATAGGTGCAGGTGATTTGACTTTTAAGCAGATGTGTGCAAGGAGCACCTGACTGTGGTGAGAGCAGGGTTAATAGTGTGCATGCGGTAGTGAATTTGCTCTGTCCTGTCAAAACAAAACGTTTCATACATGGACTGAAGAGGGACCTTTTCGATCCGACTTTGATTTGTGAACCATGGATTCTTAGACACAGTAGCAAGTTGTTAAGTTAAAACACGCTGGGGTATTTTATTATTTATTTTTTTGGGGGGGTGACCATTTTTGTACAGAGGAATTGCTGAACTAGGTGATGGCTGTGGTTGCTTGGGGGCTCCCACCACACTGGTGGGCGTTTCTGGTGTTGGGTGGCCGTTAATTGCAGATAACCACCCTGTACACCCAAAAACGTGACCGACTGAGTCTGAACTGAGCAACGGTGCAAGACCTAGAAAGTTCCCGTGTTCTTCAGCCACTGGCAATCACAGCAGAACGGCTTTGAGTCACTGAAGGTTGTCTCTATCTACTTTAAAATTGGTTACAGTGCACTTACTAGGTGGAAAATTAGGAGTCTCTTAAGTTACTGTTGGGGCTGTTTGTAGTGGTAACGATTCTTGTGGTAACTGTACACATTTTGAGGTACAAGTGTAAATATTTGTCTCAAACATAGCACACATTGCATATTAAATGGTTTTAATCTTTTTTGTCTTCCATAGTTTTAAACCTAAGCTTTTATTAATTTATGAGGTTGACAAGTTCTGCAAATCTGAATGTACAGTCTGAGATTTTTAACATTTGGAACTTTGCACACGACATGGTATGTTACCTTAAGTATGCTGTTGAACTAGGCTCTTCATGTATCTGTATAAATTACAGCAGAGAATTTTCTCTGACGGCAAGTTTAAATGAACTGTATTGTATATGTACCTGTAAAAAAATCTGTTAAATCTATATTTAAAGAATAAAATCTTGTTAAATAAATTCATACGAGAATATGCTACTATGTCCAAAGACACCTCTGCTATACTTCTAGAGAAAGAAAAAAAATTCCAACCGCGTTGGTTTTATTTCATTTCTTTGGAACAAACAGAACCTTCTTACATGCAGTTCGATCTTAAATAAGCAGCGGCAGATGATCCGATTAGCTGCTTCTGGGATGTAGTGGCAATTAAACGGGGAGAGGCACCTTTAGTGGTCTTACCAGTGTCTGAAAAAGCAGCTCCAGAAATCCTGCCCTGGCTCAGGGTGTCTCCATCCCCAGCCTCCCCTGCGTCCCACCACCGGCCAGCGCTGCCGGGAGCGAGCTCCGGGTTGGGGGCCCGTGGGTGGGTACACAGGGGCTGTGAGGCATCGATGGCCCTTTTGCAGGTGGGGTGGGGAAGGGTCGTCTTCGGGGCACTTCTCACCAGGTGAGGTGGAGGAGACCCCTGTCACAGAATCATAGAAGGTTCGGGGTTTGAAGGGACCTCTGGAGCTCATCGAGTCCAAGCCCCCTGCCAGAGCAGGACCACAGAATCTAGGGCAGGTCACACAGGAACGCATCCAGAGAGGTCTTGAAAATCTCCAGAGAAGGAGACTCCACAACCTCTCTGGGCAGCCTGTGCCAGGGCTCTGTAACCGTTACAGTAAAGTTCTTTCTCACGTTCAGGTGGCACTTCCCATGCTCTAGCTTGAATGCATTGCCCCTTCTCCTGTCACAGGGCACAAGTGAAAAGAGGTTGTTCCTTCTTGATGCCCAGCCCTCATATATTTATATACATTAATTAGATACCCTCCCAGTCTCTCTGTCACTGCAGTTCTGCCCCTGGGGTCGTGCCGTGGTGACGTGCGTGGTGCTCACAGCGTGGAAAAGCCTGTGCGGGAGCTGCCCTGCACTTCCCAAAAGCCGCGTCGCTTCCCTGTGCATTCCTGGAGTTTTCCTTGGAAGGAGATACAGGACGAACCAGCACTCATCGGAGGTAAACCTCTATTCCTCTGGGATTATTCCCTTCCCTTAAAGCTGGGAAAGGAATTGTCCTGTTTGAGCCAGCCTGGCACAGCGTCTCTGCCCCTGAGCCTCAGTGCTAGCATCTGCCCCAGCAAAGTTTCTGCCACCCACTAAGACCACACACTAGGATGTCCCGTGCTGTCTGTGCTCAGGGGACATCCCTCAAGCTTGTCTGGTGAGGGCAATGCTTCATCTCCATCACCAACAGCAGTGCCCATGGCTGCAGTCTCAAATTTAAGATGATAAATATGGAGGCAGGACAGGTAAATGAGCACCAGGAGTTCTCTTTATAGTCGTAACAAGGCTCCACAGAAATCATTAGCATAAGCCCTGCCACTACTTCTAAATGAGTTTTACACAGATTTTTAGGTCATTTATAGAGCCAATTCCATGCCATCCTAAAGCAGGAGGAGCATCACCGGCTGCCTGTTACCCATCTCAGCCCGGCTCATGAAAAC